CTTCAGAAATAAAACCATTAAGAAAAATATTTTTAACATCCATTTGAAATATATTAAAATTATTACAATATGCATAGGTAAGGAGTATCCTTATGGTTTCAAGTCTTACCACAAGAGTGAAGGTTTTTTTATAGTCGGATATCTTCTTCTTGGTTGAAACATTTGGTTACAATCTAGTATTGTTTCGAACTACGATACTAAGTTCATCTTGCTTATTCCTAAAGACTCATTTAGTGTCAATTACAAGATGGTCACTAGGTCTAGGAACAAGCATCTACACTTTATTTCTCTCAAATTGATTTAACCCTTTATATATTGCAAAAACTCACGAGTCATCTTTTAGAGCATCGTCAATGCATTTATATTCAATTTGAGATAAAAAAGCAGCATTAGCACAAAAATTTTTAAATGAAAACTGAGTTTAAACACCTTTTGATGTATCTCTAATGATTAACTCCTTAGGATGAGTATCTACATACTTTCATTCCTTGGATAAGGATTCTTTTGAAGTAGATGCATCCAAGTTACTTGAGAGATGAGAATTTTCATTTAAATTGAAAGTATCAAAATCAAACTCATCATCAAGATTATTTTTCTTAAATTTGAAAAAATCATTAAAAATAACATGGATAGATTCCTCAATAACCAAAGTTCTTTTATTAAAAACTCAAAAAGCTTTAGAAATAGAGGAATATCCAAGAAAAATATCTTTGGATTTTATATCAAATTTTTCTAAGGCATCCTTTTTATTTAAAATAAAGTATTTAGAATCAAAAACTTTAAAATATAAAATGTTGGGTCTTTTATTATTTCATAATTCATAAGGAGTTTTAGAAAGTAGTGATCTTACGAGAACCCTATTCATGATATAGCATGTCGTGTTAATGAATTTGACCCAAAAGTATTTGGGTAGGCTATATTTATTAAGCATGGTTCTTATTATCTCTTATAAACTCCTATTTTTTCTCTCAATAACTTCATTTTATTATGAATTTTTTAGAGTAAAGAAATTATAGTTATACCTATTTGAATCATAAAATTTTTTAAAAATTATAGTTTTTAAATTCACCACCATGATCACTATGAATAGAGGAAATCATAAAACTCTTTTTATTTTAAACTTGTTTGCAAAATTTTAAAAAATATTTAAAGCAATCATTTTTATGTGCCAAGAAGTATGTCTAAGTATATCTACTATAATATCAACAATCACAAAAATATATTTACTACCTCCAAAACTTGTGATATCAATTGGTCCAAATAAATCTATATGAATTAATTGTAGTGATCTAGAGGTACTTACTTAATTTTTAGACTTAAAGCTACCCTTTATTTATTTACCTAGTTGGCATATATCATAAACTTTATCTTTGATAAATTTAATTCTAGGCATACCTCTTACAAGTTCTTTAATTATAATTTATAAAATTAGTTTTATACTTGCATAGCCTAATCTCCTATGCTAAAGCTATGCTTCATCTTTTAAAACTAAAAAATAAGTTTCATCATAAAAATCATCAAGATTAATAGTATACATATTATTAGTCCTGAAGGCAATCATAGATATATTTTTATTTGATATCTCTATAATGTAAGTATTAGATTCAAATTTAATATTATAACCCTTATCACATAATTGACTAATGCTTAATAAGTTATGTTTCAAACCATCTACTAATAAAACGTCTTTAATTAAAAAGTTTTATTTGTTACGTATATTTCCTTTGCCAATAATTTTTTCTTTATTGTTATCTCTAAATGTGATATATCATTTATCTTGACTAGTGAGCTTATAAAAATATGTTAGATCTTTGGTGATGTACCTTTAGCACTATTAAGATATCATCTCTTGCTCTTAGCTTTTGATTATAGATATATCTATAAGAAATAAAGTTTGCTTTAGGTACCCATTTAACTTTAGGCCCCTCATAAAAAGATATATCTATCTTAACTATTGGTATTAATGGTTCCTTTAGGAACTCAAAATAATTTATGTGAGCTATATTTTTTAAATAAATATTTATAACTATAATGATCACATCTACCATAAAAATTATATTTAATTTTGGGAAAAACATACAAAGTTGATCCTTTAACAAATATGGTTGGCTTTTGTTGACTATTACTACTCATAAAGTCAATTCCTTCTTTTCTATGTATATAACTTTTGTTAACAAGGATCATATTTAATGATTTGTTTCTAATTTTATATTTTTCTAAAGTTTGTTATAACACCATATTTTTTTCTTTTTTTACTAAGTCTAACTCTTCACATTTACTACAAGAGGTTAACATGCAATTATTATATTTATTTATCAATTTTTGTTTACTAGAGAGAGAAGTATGATCATTTTTTAGTAATTTATATTTCTTACTACTTAATTTAAAATCATCATATAAATCATGAAAAGTATTAAGTAATTCATCATAAGATAAATAGGTTTTGGTTGAGTCACATACTTGATCATTGAGAGTCATTGAGGTATAGTTTGCTACCTCATCTTTATTAGTTTGCTCCTCACCTTCTGATGCACTTGATTCGTCCCAAGTCGTCTCGAATGTTTTCTTCTTCTTTTGTGCTAGCATCTTCTTCTTCAATTATAGATATTCACTTTTGTGCTTCATGATTGTAGTTGTTGAGTTTTGATCAAAATAGTTTAAAATCTAATTGAGTTAGTTTTGGGTGTAACCATGTCAACTTGATTAAGAGCTTATTGGGCCTGAATTAGGGTTGAATTATGCCTATTGGAAGGCCAATTCAATGATCTAAGGTTGGGCCAAGTAGTGGCACCGCTAGGCCAAGCAATGGTACCGCTTGTGAGTTGGAAAGTATGGAATGTACTTCTCCGAAAAACTCGACGATAGTACCACCAGGGTCAGCCGTAGTATCGTCCAGTGTCAAGTGATAGTACCACCCAATTAGACGATGGTACCACTATAACATAGTCTCCTAAGCTATGTCAAGCGATGATACTTCCCAAGCAGGTGGTGGTACCACCAGAGCAGTGGTTCCCAAGCTCTATCAAGCGGTAGTATCGCCCAACGCAAGCATTGGTATTGCTAGTACCCCGAAAGCCGAGAGATTTAAATTTTTGCCTTCATTTTTAAAGTCATTTAGGACTTATAAATACTACACTCATGCTTGCTTGATGGTGTAAGAAAAAAAATAGAAACCTGTAATTGAAAATGTATAAACTCTCTTATAAAGTATTGAGTCTCTTCCTCCTTGAGTTTAGAAGTCTTTCTAAGGGAGGTGTGAGATTTCCTTATAAAAGAGAGGTGTGAAAAGGAAAAAAGATTGTAACAAGAGTAATTAATTTTTTCTCATTGAAAAGAAGATCGGTAGTGAAAGTCGATGGTCTCGAGAGAAAAGGAATTGGGAGCCGACGTAGATCGAGACGACCAAACTACTATAAATCTGATTTACATTTCTCTTTATGCTTTTCCTTCCTATTACTAACTGATTTAGTTGCTCACTACCTTTACTCGTATTCTATGTTAAATGCATTTCCGATACGTATTTTTATTGATCAAACTTTCAAACCAAAATTTTTCAAAAGCACTAAGTATAAGAGAGTAATTGATTTCAGTTTAAGAGAGGGGTGAGTGGGTTGTAAAGGTTATCTTCTAAACTTATGAAAAGGAGAAAAGAGATATAAGAGAGTAGTTGGTCTTCGCTCATTTAAAGAATCATTAGTGGACACCAATAGCCTCAACAAAGGAGGAATCGAGAGTGGACGAAGGTCACGATGATTGAACCACTATAAAATTGGTGTGCAATTTTTTGTTGCTCTTCGTTACTGTTGTTTTCTGCCTTAATTGCTTATCACTCTTATTCTAAGTCAAGCACACTTTCAATATCTTTTCCGATACATTTTTATCAAGCCAAAAGTTTCGAATCGACTTAAAATTAAAAAGTTTAATTATTAATTAGGATTGTTTAAAAAATATTAGGATTGTTTAAAAAAGAGATAATTTTTATCAATCCAAAACTTTTAAATTAAAAAGTACTAATTATTACACCATAAAACTCATTGTTTTTATTTTGAGTCGGTTTGGAATTAAATTAGAAACATCAATTTTAGTATCGATTTTAATTTTTAGGAATTGAAATCGAATCGTTTGATCTCAGTTTTGATCGTTTAATTTTTAGGAATTCAAAGTTATTGAACCGTTGATCTGATTTGATTTTGATTTCGAATCAATTTAATTTTGATTTTATTTTGATTAAATCGAATCAGTCCAGACCAACTTTTCGTCGTCGGTCGAATTCCTCAAGTAATGTTGGTTTTGTGTATTAGATGGTGAATGACTTACATTGTATGTATGAATTATTTGAATATGTCCGAAGAAAATGCATCGATCAAAGAAATCTCATAAAAATTAGATAGTGGGGCTGATGTATTTATATACATCCCAACAATGCTTAGGCATCAAAAACGCCATGAACACACTGTCGGTGCCTCACCCATATTTTTGCGTCTGGAATTGTACAACAACGTAGCTATTCGTCATCACCCAATTCTTGTGGGAATTATATGCCTCTCATTCTATCCTTATTATTCTAGTTTGATGAACCATCCAATTACTCATGCACAGAATCCTCTTCCTCTCACAACAAGTCCTGAGCTCACCTGAGAGAGTCTTCCTCTCACAAGATGCTCACTTTAAATGGTATACGTGTCATCATTCCATTGGATTTTTTTTATACCGTCAACAACAAGGAGTTAGACTTTCTAAGTATTCGTCCCTTAATTGGTTGCGTACCTCATCTGTGGTCGGAGCTGACATGTGCGGATCCAGACAGGGAACACACTTCCGACGCTCCTTTGAATTGACACGTTATCACTCACAAGCATGTTTACGAATCGGAATGCTAAACGACCGTCCATCTGTTCTGATTGAACGATCGAATCAGATGAATTGCTGAGATGAGACGAGTTGCAGAGTTAACCCCTCTTGCTCTCTTTCTTCCCTCCTCTTGGCTCGGTCGCTCGCTTTTATCCGTGGTTGCGACAAGAGAAGACTGTAGATGGAAATGGGAGGCGGAGCAGCCACGGGCGACGGCATGGGCCACGAGAAGGAGATGAAGATGACGATGCACATGACCTTCTTCTGGGGCGAGAACGTGGAGATCCTTTTCTCCGGCTGGCCCGGAGACCGCGGACTCGGCATGTACCTCCTCGCCCTCCTCTTCGTCCTCGCCATCTCCGCCCTCACCGACTTCCTCTCCACCGTCTCCCGGAGGCGCTGTGGCGGCATGGCCGCCGTACTGCACGCCGTGCGCATGGGGTTGGGCTACCTGGTCATGCTCGCCGTCATGTCCTTCAACGGTGGCATCCTCGTCGCGGCCGTCGCCGGCCACGCCCTCGGCTTCCTCCTCTCACGAAGCCTACTCCGACGAGCTGAATCCAATCACGCAGACGATACAGGGAGTGCCAGCGCCGGCCAGCTTCCTCCCTCCAAGATAATAAGCTCACGGTCGTAGGTGGGGGCTTGTCCAATTCTCTTTGTATTCCTTCCTATAATTCACCTGCTAATTGCTACTGCAATCTTCACAACAAGTATCAAACTACGTATATTTTAAGTTTATATCAATCTTGTCATTAATTTTCAAGGTAGTTTTAAAACGGGTAAAAGAATCTCTAGCTGTGAGTCATTCGTCAACTCTTTGCATGCAAAGCTGCAGCAGTGCAGAGTCATGAGATGGAATGTGTTTGTCTTCCTTAGTTTAACAAAAGAAGCATAGGTGCCATCAAATCATTTAACGAATCTCAACATCATTTAGAATGATGTGTATACAAGCATCGTTTATATTATTCTGCAGTGTCTCGTCACTGGTGAAGAGTAGTCATGCGGTCAAACTTTTGGATACATCCAACACAGGGTGGTAGATGGATTTGTTGAACTAGAAATCCTCAAAAGCGCGTCGATGCAGGCAAAGTCACAAGTAACCAAGCTGCGGTTAAACGAAGAAAGAAAAAGCCACTACGATTTCACGGAAGGAATGGAAGAATGCAGTCAAAGCCTTGCATCGAAGACCAGATCATCAACCCCACGCATTGAATGCAACGTTAGGAAGGTGGAGAAGACATGTCAGTTGGCTTCATGCATAACTCCAAGTAGTGAGAGAGAAAATAAATAAATAATAATAATAATAATAATAATAGAAAAAACGAAAAGTTTCCAATAAAATTAGCTATATATATATATATATATTGGCATGAAGGATAAATTATAATTTTTTCTTAAATAAAAAAGAAGTCACCCATAACCCAACAAGCCTTCTAATCTTTATCCACCCAAAAAAAAACAACCACTCATCTAGATATCTTAATTTAAATCCTTATATTTCGTTAGATCTCATCCTAACTATTTGAGCTAATTTTATCACACTCTTAATTCAAAATAGTTATAAATTAAAATTTTACCTCAAAAAATAAATTTTTTATTTTGCTAAAGCTTTTGTAAAGATATGGACAAATTAATCTTTGGTTTTGTAGTAGTATGTTTAAATTTCTTATTTATCAATCAGTTTACGAATGAAGTGTTGTCGAGCTTCAATGTATTTGGTGCATTCATAGAAGATAGGATTCTTCATCATTTTGTAATAGTAGACTCGTTATCACAATAGATTTTAATTGATTTATTTTAATTTTCTTAGATATTTGTTAGAATTCTTTGAAGCCAAATTGTATGACCTATTGTACTTGTAACAATAATATACTCTGTCTCATAACTTTAGAGAATAATACATTCTTTTTTGTGATCCATGAAATCACCTCTAAGCCAATGTTAAACAAAAATCCTAAAATATTTTTTCTGCACAATCAACCCAATCATTATTAGGACATGAATAGAACTTAAAATCTTTTACCTACTTATAACGAATGTCATAATTGAGAGTTCCATTGATATATTTATATCTTATATTGAATGTGTGAGATAAATTAACCCTTTAATTAAACTTCTATATTATCTCATTCATTTTTTTTCAACTACATCATCTAACATAAATTTATCATTTATATTTATTGGAATATTCACTGGCTTACAAGTTTTCATATGAAATCTTTAGCATATTTTTCTTGACAAAAAAAATTATTTATATTTTGAATAATTTTCATTCCTAGAAAATAATGTAAAAGCCTCAAATCAATAATTTCAAATTTTGACATCATATTTTTTTAAACTTAGCATATCTAATAAATTTTTAGTATAAATCATATTATCCACATACAAATAGATAACAAGAATTCTTTTATATATAAAGTTTCACTTAAACTTATTTAAAAATTATGTTGAAGAAAGTACTTATCAATTCTAATAGACCCCTGCCTTTGGTATTTATTTCAAACCATATAATGCTTTATCATTTGTATTTATTAGAATATTCAATGGCTTACAAGTTTTCATATGAAATCTTTCTACCAAATCTTTAGCATATTTTCTTTAAAAAGATTATTTACATCTTGAATAATTTTCATTCTCAGAAAATAATGTAAAAACTTCATATTAGTAGTTTTAAATTCTGACAATATTTTTTGAGTATAAATCATATTATCCATATAGAAATAGATAACAAGAAATTTCATATTTTACGATTTTATATATAAAGTTGGCTCACTTAAACTTTTTTAAAATTTATGTTAATTCTATTATACCATATCTTTTGTTTGCAAATCATATAATGCTTTATCCAATTTGTACCATTTATCTTCTTGTCCTTTAATTTCAAATCTTTTAAGATGTTTTACATAAACCTCATCTTACAACTTTTTATACAAAAGACTGATTTAACATCAAATTGATAATTTTTTTTATGGGTTGCTAATGCTAATATTGTTCTGATTATATTAATTATTGTAATTGAAAAAAATTATTCAAAAGTTAATACCTGAAACTTGACCATATCATTTGGCAACCAAATAAGCTTTATGTTTTTACAACGAGCAATAAGTATTAAATTTTGACTTGTACGCCCACTTAAATCCAATTACTTCTTTTCCTTAGGGCAAATTTACCAGCTTCAAGGCTTCTTCTTTTTTTCTTTTTCAATAGCTTACAATTCATCATTTATTGCACGCACCTATTCTTCTTTCCAAGTTGCAACTTTATATATCTATGAAAGATTACAAAAAATATTTTAATATCACTAGAATAGCATGAACTAGAATCAATCCAAATATAAGAAGATTCTAGTAAGATATTAACAATAGATAATGTATCATGTGCCTTATAGACTTCTTTTACTATAATTATTGAAATTTTAACTACTTTAGAGTTGTAAACTTTTTCATTAAAAATAACATCATGACTTATGATCAATTTCTTAGTTGTAGGATTATAAAGTCTAAAAACCTTTATTTTATTATTATACCCCACAAATATGTATTTAATACTTTTGTCATCAAGTTTACTTCTTTTTTATGTAGATGCATTAAAATAAGCAACACAACCAAATACATTAAGTGACTCATATTTGGCTTTTTGTCCAACTATGCTTCATATGGTGTTTTTCCTTGTAATATCTTAGTAGAAAAGTGATTTAACAAATACATTGTTGTACTCACAGCTTCTACTCAAAACTATTTTGGTATTATTTTTTATTTAAGCATACACCTAGAAATCTTGATCATAACTCAGTTCTTTTGCTATGCCACTCCATTTTGTTTGAGGTGTAACTTGCAATTAGGTCCCTATGAATGCCTATGTTTTTGTAAAAACTAAAAATAATTATTGGAAGTAAACTCATCCTTTCTATTTGGAGTTTTAATAAAACATCCACTTTGTGTTTTTTGCATATACTTTAATTTTTTAAAATAAAGAATGCTTTATTTTTTCTTTCAAACAATATATTCATAATATTTACTTTTGCGTAGTTTGTATTGGCTCACAAATACAAGTTTTAACTATTATTTTGCTCGACCTGTCTAAAACTAATTTTTGTGTTATTTTCTAAAAACATAAGATTCACTAATAGTATCTATATTCTTAATTTTAATCAAATCAACCATCATATTATTTTGATTTAATAGTTCTAATCCATAATAATTTAGATAACCATATCTTTTATATCATAATATTGATTGATGAATAACAACAATAGTAAATTCATATAAGAAGAAATCTAAAATTAAAAAAAAAAATATTTTTTTATCATCATCACAGTTGCTATCAAGTTTTTAGTTTTTTTTTATCATAAATCAAATATTCTTATCAAAAAAAATAGCATAATACTCTTTCTTATTAGTTGTCCTATACTAATGAAATTTTGTTTTAAGTCAAGAATAAACGTCACACCATTAATAAATCTATTATCATATTAATATTCTCGTTCCTTTCCCTATCACCTAAACAGGACTATCATTTCCCATTTGTATGGTAAATCTGATGGAACCATTAAGCCCTTAAAATAAATTTTTATCCCTAGTGATATAATTACTATATTCACTATTCAAAAACTAAATAAATCTAAAATATTTTTCATCAGATGCTATAAATTATATTTTTATCTTTTCTATTATTATTATTATTATTATTATTTTCATGATAGTTTGATTAGTTTTTATTCTAATAATCTTTTTCAAGATGATCATATAGGTTACATTGAGAGCAAAAAAGAATATTTAAAATTTAATTCTTGTATCAATACTATTTTTTTAATATGTTTAATTTTTTTACAATAAAATATTGATGGATTTCTTTGTTACCTTCGTTAGAGTTCTTTTAACTCTTATTTGATTGGCTTGGTCCCCTACCTCAAGCAGTAAATTGTCTATGACCTCTATTATTTTGACATCTCCCTTAAGATCTGATTTCTGAAATTTTCTTTTTTTCCTTCTTCCGATCTATCTTCATTTGAAAAAAATGTTCTGAAGTTTTAATTAAAAATTTATTCATTTTTTGTTCATGAACTAAAAACAAGCATATTAATTCATCGAGAAATAATGTAATTGTATCTTTATCTTCTATTATAGTAGTAGAAATCATATCAATTATTTTAGAGATAAACTTCATAAAAATTTTTTTTATTACTATTTGATTTTTTAGGTTTTCATCGTAAAACCTCGTTTGGTTTACAATAGAAAAGACTTTTGAGAAAAATCAATGACAAATTCAAAATCTTTCATAATAAGAGTTTCAAATTCGTGTCAAAGAATATGAAAATTTTACTTTGTACCTCTAATATATATATTTTTAATATTTTTTAGTTTTCTATTGATATTGATACTGATTCAGAAAAATAAGGACTCATTTATTGCTTGTTTTAGCATGTAGAGAACTCTTGCACTTTTCTTATTTATTTGATCTTCAGTAATATTATGATTTTGTACATCGTACTAAACAAAATTATTTTTATCAAATTATATAATACTTATGAAATAATAAAATTATCATTTTAATGGTCAAAATTGATCATTTTCACCGAGATAGGAAGATAGAAGTAGATTAAAAACACTTTAATGTTTGTATCTTTCTTTCTTTCTTTTTCCTTCCAGATCTACTAATTGTATATATTTTTAAATTAACGTACTCCTATTGG